AAAAATAAATAAACATAAATATAGGTATTTTAGAAACTATTAAACATAAATAATGAGGATAAACCAAAGAGATAAACTCTGAATTGTGCCTAACTGCTATATATAAACATTCATAAAATTATAAGATGTTCATTAACCATATTTTGTCATTCCAACCAAGTTTGTCATTCTTACCTGAGCTCCGCATGCAATCATCTGCAACCTTTTCTGCATCAACACTGGACGAGCAGCCGAGATAAATGTCATTGCATATTTGGCACGGTCCCTTCTGTTACCCAACAAGCCCATGAACCATATCTGGAAGTTCAACTTCCTTCACATTTTTGCTACTGCTGCAGCTGGACGTTTCTTGGAACATGGGCACTGTAGCTTGTAGTTTCTCTCCTGCTGCTGTGAATACTCATGAACAGGACAAATGTTTATTAATCCGCTGCTGAAAATAGTCCCCAACAAATGCACAAACTAGTGCCCTAGCTGTTTTAGAAAATAAGTTTTTTAATCACTATGTCTTTGTGACATGTTTTTAAAGGAAATGTTCTTCCCAGGAGGTAGATGAGCAGATTAGCCAGAATAGCTATTTCACACTGTTACCAGTCTTCATGCTAAGCTAACCTGCTTCTGGCTATGGCCTTGTATTTATCTGACAGATAACAGAGTGGTGTCAATCTTCTCATCTAAGTCTTGGAAAGAACGAGAATAAGTTGAGTTTATTTCCTGAAAATGTTGAACTATTCCTTCAGTAGGAACGAATGCTTGGGGCAACAGACAGGGAAGTCTGTAAATACTGAGAGAAAGACACACATTCTCAGTTTTGGGCTATTTATTTATTGACAAAAGACAAAAATATAGAATGACCCCACTTTATCTTTTAAAATGAACTGGGTATTTGAAAATTACATATTATATATATATATATATATATATATATATATATAAATACATACATAGATACATACACACACACACACACACACACACACACACAGGTTTACAAACAAACTCCAAAAGACAAAATCCATAATTTAAATTGGCCAGACGTCAACTAGTTAATTGGCCTTGTGACATTAATATTAATCTTGATTTGGTGAGCACGGCCTTCCTTTGTGAAAATCTGGTGGGTGACATACTCTCTGGCCACAGCACTCATATTGAGCACCACAGCCAGCCAACTGTAGAAGAGCAGCAAAAGTAGAACTGCCAAGACCTTCAATTTCTGTTTCTCCACCATCATCTCCACATATGCTTCACCTTCCTCATCCTCACATGCTTGTTCTACACTAGGGAGCTGGCCTCTCAGGTTTCAGCATATGGCAAAAAAATAAAAATAAATGCATGACGGTAGGCAAGAAGCAGAAGGTGACACCAGTGTTAGAGTACACTTTTTCATTTCAGCACAACATTTCAGCCATTACTAATAAACTGTTTAAATAAATATAATATTTCAAATGTCTAGCATTTTACTAGAGTGATGAAAGTCTTCCTTGCTCATACAGCAGAGCCAAACACAAAAGCAACATTTGAATTATATTCATAAAAACCAGTGTAAATGTAAATGAATTATCAGTTTGAAAACCCAAAGAGGCTTATGATTTTTCAGCCATTCATAAGAGCAAAGTAATGCCATGCATCCTTAATACCCGTGCTTCAGCATAGGAGGAACAAGGAAGACTGAGTAATTGTATATGGTAAAGGTTAATCTGCTGTGCTTTCCACATAAAGAGAGTGACACCTCTGCCTGCTTAGGATCTGTTGGGTGAAATCCACTCGGGAAGACAGATGACTGCAACAGAAGCAATTTCAAGGTCAGACACTGTGAGTGATGTGTCACATTGTGCCACTACCCTGTGATCTCTAATATACAGAGACTGTAATGGATCCTAAAAGTGTAGATACACTGATCTATAACCTGACACACTGCACATCTAAAAGACACCTAGTAGGTATCTGATAAATGATTTATTCTCTGATAGGGATGATAGAACCCAATATCACAAGTAGAGTGATGATGGGCATACTGCATTTGGGGCAGCCCAATGCTTTTACATAAGATAATAATGGATTAATAGTTATTTGTAGTTACTGTTAAAATTAGAGTGACGGTGTACCAGTAGCTTTATCTCCAATATAAAATATGCTATGATTCAGTGCAAAAAGTATTGGGGGTATATAGGTGTGTTACTTTCATGCTGGAGACCTGGGCCCGTATTTATCAAGCTTCTCAGTATTACTCATAAGAACACTGCTAAGAACTGACTTAAGAGTGAAAATAAATCTTGGCTAAAAGCTGTGCTTAAAAGTTAGTTATCAAGCATCATAGTCTTAATTTGAGTGAAGTGTAGGACTAAACCTTAAGTGTCAGTCTTAGTGCTGATGTACGACACTTTGCTGTACGACACTTTGCTTTTGGACAAATACAACCGTGTTCGGACTGGATTATGCTCTGACAACTACGCCGTTTGCTCGAGGGAGAAGCTCGGAGTAAACTGCTTTTATTAAATTAGCTTTTCACTTTAGTTTTTAGGAATACAACGTTGATTTATCTTCACTCAAGCTTCTCAGCAGCTAGATGTTGTATGTTTAACAAATCTGCATCATATTGTAGTTATTTCGGCATCAGTTTGATCCGTTTATTGCTATTTAATCACAGCAAAATGTTGGCCTTTGGCGTTATTGCACTGTGTGTGAACACCTTAGGGATGTCCAGCGATAAAACCCAGTGAGGAAAGCGTTGCGTGGATTAAATTCGCATTTGATCTGAATGCGCAGTAAGGGGAGTTTATATTCAACACACATTTAACAATAAAGAATTTTCAAGATAATACATTATGATATAGGCCTTCACATTAATAAATGAAAGATAAAAAAGTTTATCTTTATATGAGCGTCATCAAACACACCTAGTTCTCCTGTATTGCTGGCTATTCGCATGAACTGTGTTTGCTTCTGTCGGATTACAGGGGTGTTGTTGGGAAGTCGATGAAACACGTGACAATGTGTGGAGCTGGAGCCTAAGTGCTATATTTGTTTTAATGGCTATTCGGCTTATTGATGGTTGTGACGGCCACAATCATCAGCATTGCTGCGTTTGTCCTGTGGCAAATAAATGAAGCGTCATCACCTACTTCAATTTAACTGAAAACGCATAACTGTGTAAAGTCAGTGGCGAGATGACATCCCTCACCAACTCGCTGACAAAGTTCATGCCTGCGCTGTCTGACCCCGTCTTATTAACTGCGTGTCGTCAAATAATTCAGAAACATTCTTCCTCTCCTGAAAGATTTGTACAGGTCTCTGTCTCCACAGTGCCATCACAAGCCCCAACTGGCAGCTCCTAACCACTTGAGAGACCTCTCCAGCTGTCTTAAATAACTGGTAGAATAAGAGTGATTCTTAGCTTTAAGAAATTTGATAACTTGCTTTTATTCTTAAGTTTAAAAGTAGGAGTAGATTTCATGAATTCTCAGCACTTAAGACTAAAGTGGCACTTTGAGAAGCTTGACAAATACCGGCCCAGAATTTCCACAGGAACTCAGACTGACACTTATCTTTATAAAACTATAACTGTGCACAAGTCAACCAGCAGCAGCCACGGCGCAATATTGGCTTTCATTTAAAGTAATGTTTCTGTCCACCTTATAAAACTTTGTGTGTGTGCTGTTTGGGTCTGGCCAGGTAGAGTTCCGTGGGTTTAACCATAGACTGTATAAAAGAAGTGGACGTAGTCACTGTGATTTCACACATTGACTTGTGGACTGCCGTTTTGAAGCCTTGAGTTTGGCCATGTTAATCTTTTGCAATCCGGCTCCGGACGTGATTATATCTGGACGAGACGGTGGCGCTTGCAAGAACTGTAATTCATGTTATCTATGATTTTAACTGGGATGCTAATTTATGCTAGCAAAAAACATTCTTAAAACAAAATGTACTTAAATAGACAGCCCGCTCCTAATAAGCTTGCTCAACGGTGCTGGTTAAATTTACACATTCCAGTCCATAGGAGTCACTCTAGCCTGATTGAGAGGTCGCCATGGTAGCGACTTGTCAATCACATGGTAGTCCCGCCCTAAAGCACACCCTGAGTTATCTTCTATTTCTTCTAAACAGGACCATAATTTACTAAATGAACATCACGCTGTACTCATTAGGAAACTGTATACTGAGGTAATAAATCAGGTGAGAAGTAGCCTCATTTTTCCAATATTTCTAATAGAACCAGACTTCTTTTTGCAACCACAGGAATCCCCCCCCCCCCCGTTGGCCGTTAGAAAGAATGCAGGTTTAAGTTACTTTGGCATTGTCTTCACTGGTGAGAGAGCAGGAGGTTGCCTTGGATTTAACAGAGCTTTTTTGCTACAAAAATAAAACAAAATGCTGAAAGCAGGAAGATGCTAAACCATTTGAGTTGTCGGAATTTGCGCAATAATTGCCTCTGAATACTTCACTACAAGTCAAGAGCTTTCACATAACACCAAGATCGATATTTTATTTGAAATATCGATAAGTGCACCTTTAAAGTCCATTGCCAGCTCTGTCCTCTAGTGGCCTACCAGGTGCACAACACTTATAAATGGGGAAAAGAAAATTGACATTCATTTAGAGATACTGACTCAATTAACAACAAAAACCATTTAAGCCCATTACAAGAATTCAACTCTAGGCTGTAATCCTACACATAAATATGCACTTTGTTTTCCTCCTCCACCAAGTCTCCTGATAACTAAAATATTTATTAGGATTTCACTCCAGACTGGTCATCACCAGAATGTATTCAGCACTGCAATTTAGCTCATCATCTCAGACATCACTCCCTCCGTCCTAATTAAGCCTAATTAACACATGAGGCAGCAATCAAAACAAAAGCTACTGTTCACCCTGTTTCAATTTTTGGAGGGAGGGGTAAATATACGAGCAAAAAAAAAAGCGAGTGAAACCTCACACTGTCACAAAAACACACTCACTGACACGCAAATTGACACTCCCTTTCAAAACAAGCACCAACACACTGACTGACCGACCAGTGCTGTCCTGCCGCCTGAAGCAGAAAGCCTGCTGTGTGGATGTGTGCAGCCCTCTGGACTTGGTGGGAGGGGGAGAAGTTTCCCCAAAGACAAGCTTGGATCACTGAGAGAGACGATGCCTTCCACCTCTAGCCCAGTCTCACAAGCTGCTCAGTGGATTTGCTGATTTCGGAAATTATTTTCTGCAAGTTATTCAACGGGACTGAGGAGAGATTTTGAGCCAGAGAATGCTCCCACAGGTCATTCGGATTCTGTATGTCTTGTCTTTCTGCTTTTTCCAAGGAGGCTTTATCAGGTGAGGCGCACTAACATTTATTGTTGTCTGTGTTGTGCGAGTTATTTTCTCTCTCATCAGCTGCTTGATATTAACTTTTCGACAGTTAAAGTCGACGCTGTACCGTGCTGTTCACATCACAGCTATCATTTCATAGACTTTTTCACTTGATTAGTATGCCGCTCTCAAGTTAATTATCAATTGTTAATGTTGTTGTTATTGTTGAGGCGAAAGAAATCTACCTAAAACTAACTGGCCATGTATCAGTTGTTGCTGCTATTCAATGAAACGAGAAAATGGCCCGTTACATAGCGTCACATCGAGCGAACATGATGATTGTAGGATTTCACAAATAATCCAGCATTTTACGCGCAGAGCCAACTGGGATCTCTCGCCACCAACTCTGGAAATCACGATGTCATTTCATGGTCGCAGTTTTTAAAGTGGCTGCAAATGCAAATTTAGTAATAGGCTACTACTATTTACTATGAAAAAAAGGCATCAGATATCAAACCCGGTTGTTTTTGTGCCTAGAGAAAATATGCCCTGGCGAAAACTACCTGTGGAATTCCTGCTTGGATTGCAGGAGCGATTGGTGGCTTTTGGGTGAGCTTAAGGGTGACGTTACGACTCCAGTGTATGATATGATATCCATGAGGTGATTCACATTTTAGCAGTAACAAAGAGGTCACTGCGAAATGCATGCACGTCATTGAAAGATGTCATGCAAGAATTTGCATCCCTGATTTTTTTTTTTTTAAACAACAGCAAGAAAAGTGAGTCGATTCATTATTGTAAGAAACGGGGGCAAGCTTCAGTCGGTGCGTGTTCAGTGCATCAGGAGACAGACAAAACAAAAACAGCTCCATCTCTCCTTCTCTGCTCCCTTCTTTAGTCTCACAGTTTGTACCACAAACCTCATGTCTCTCTTTCCTTCCTCATTCACTCACTCAGATCATCTCCAGCAACCAAGCTCCCTTTTCTCTCTTCCTTTATCCTTCCATGCCCGCTTCCTCTCATCCTCCCCCTCTCTATCCTTCTTGGTGGCAAAAACTTTTATTTGCAGTGAACACTTTCCTTATTTCATGCCCCGCCAACCTCAGGTGTGAGCGGAAGGGAATTAAGATCTGCATAATCCTGGAGTGGAACAGAGCCATGACTCTGTGAACCCAGGGGTGAGGAGAGCAGCTCTTAGCCTGGAGAGCTGTCAACTGACAGCACCTCCTCTGAGAAATCATATGCTCTCCTACCAGTCTCTCTGCTCTTCACGTACATTCGGATGGAGTGGGAAAAGGAAGGGATCGAGTAGGGCAGGTGTAAGAGACAGGCGGAATCTGATGAAGGTGGCGAGGGGAACGGGGAGAGATGAAGGGTGAAGGGAGAGAGATGGAGGGTGAAAATGGGAATGGAGCAAACTGGAATGGAGAGAAATGCAAACAAGAAATTGAGAGGGATATTCATTTAGCTGAAGGCGACTGGGAGATTAGTAAAGTAGAGGATGGGGCTGGGAGATGGAGAGAAATGGTTCAGATAGGAAAGAGGAGATGAGATGGAGAGGAGGGGGGTGGGTCGGTGGGTGTGACAGACAGGAAGTGTTGTAAGAGATGTGAAAAAGAGATTGTCATGTAAATTAGTGCACAAGCTGCACTGGTATAATTTCGAGCAGGATGATAGTCGACAAGAGGAAATGGGAAACAGAAATGAAGGGTCTAATATGTAACAAAGTTAATTTCATAGTCTGAGAGGTTGATGGCTGGGGGGTTAGTAGATCTGTGTGTGGATGAGTGTATGAGAGAAAGAGACTCTGGTTTCCTGAACCTATTCTGCGACCTAGTGTAGTTGCACGTGGGTTTTTTAAGCGGGTTTGGTTAAGGGACCTTTCAAGGGAGAAATTTCAATCACAGCAGAACTATGTTTTTCTTCACTTTTCCCCAGTTCCCTTCAGCTGCTTGAAATTTTGCTCCTGATTGGTAGCATTTATCATGTGTTGTTTCTGGGCTGTATGTTCCTGGTTTACAGTGCATTCCTCTTTATTTTCCAAGATGAATTAGTTTGGTGCTGCATATGTTTAAGTCAGGGCTGCGTATAGTATCAGTGCTAATTTGATAACTAAATTTTGGCAATAATGTATACTTTAACAATACTTTATCGATACCTTACACTAGAGATCATGTTTTTAACAAAAGATGAGTGCTTTCATTGGGTGAAGTTTCACTTATCAGTGGGGGCAACAACATGGTTATGGTGGTGGCACTCACGATTACAATATATAATAAGTACCTGTGCACTTAGTTGGTGTGTTTAAATTATGGAAAGGTATGATTCATGCACTGCAAGGCTGTGCTACAAGTCATACCATATGTCCACGGCGCAGCAAGCCCACTGCAACCCACAAACTCTGTAGCTATCTATTTACCACAGTGTCAGTTTGCTGTTTGTTGCCAGTAGCGCTTTAGACCTCAGTGACTCCAGGTGCCTATACTATGAAGCAAGTTCAGCATACTGAGGATATCATTTTGTTATCTGGCATAACTAACCCTTACAACTGCGATCAAGCTCAGCGGTCACACATCACTGGTCATCAACCCAGGGTTTTCCATTCCAGCTATGAGCGCATTCATATAAAAAGGGCAGTGTTTGCAGCAGATAACCAGTCGCAAACATGGACAAGTCTACTGACAGCAGAGTATATTAGACAAATAAAAATAAGTTAAACACATAATCAAGGCTAAAAGTAACAAAGTTGCAGCAACCACATGCAGTAGGACACAAAATCATTTACTATATGAATGTGTAAGTTTACAGGCTTTAAATGAATGTGTTGCTTAGTGTTGCTGTAGCAACTGTGTGTCAGTGTTTTGACATCAAAAACTATGTAACACGTAAACGAAAAATGCATTCATGCTTAGTGGTCGAAAGTTATCTCAACCATGGTTTCAGTTCCTAACATTTACTGAAAACTGATCTACGCCATGACTAGTCTCATTTATAAGAAATAAATGCAACCTAAAGTATACTAAACAAATTCATATTAAACTTATTGAATACCAAAATATATGTTCATATTTAGATTAGATTTGTGTCTTGAACATAACCTGCTCCGGAGCAGGCTATTGTCACATTTTTGCAGGCTATTGTCACATTTTTGTCAGAACTAAAAAGATATTGGCGGTGGATAGCCCAGTTGAAGTTGTGCGCACCCAATGGGGACTGTAAAGACACTTGATGTGTCATAAAGTTAACTAATAAGTTAAGTTGTCATTAGCAACCGTAACTGAAGCAGTGCTTTTTCACAGTGGGGTCTTAAAAAAAGTTTGTTTGATTTTGTTTCTGGTACACTGCTGCCGTAAGGACAATAAATAGATTGTTCATCTGTGAGGGAATTTCCTTCTTTAAGGTTAATATCACACAGGCTCCCCAAGGTCACGTTAGGGCCATTTGCTGAGCTAAAGTAAGCCAAAGGTGACAACCTGTGACTCTCCGAATGAGTAGGTCAAACTCCCTCCTCTCTGTCTGTGGGGTTGACTGTCTGACACAGCTGCTTGGAAAGGAAGGACTCTGTGGTCCATCTTCTAGGTAATCCAAGGTCAAGATTATTTTTATTTTATTACGGACAGATTGACTGAATGTCATTCAAGTCATGAAAGAGAGCCAATGTGACTTAGGATAACTTAGATAAGCACATTGTCTTGTTTTGAACCAATATCCAATCGAATCTTAACAGATCTGTGAACAAAACCTTATTTGGACACTTAGTGAACCTCTGTAGTTCTAGGAAGGATAAATACTCTGACCAGGAGGTATCCTTCTGATAAGGTTTGGTACTATACTGTTTTCTTACTACTGCTGATGCCTTTGTCTCCCCGGCTAGGCTTCAATAAATGTTACTGCTTAAGATATCCTGAGTTTTCTGAAACCTTCTTCTTCAGTAAGAGTTGACTAACTCACAAGAATTTCCATCACAGTATCCAGCGCAAAGCGATCACACACGCTGACTTCACCAGGATGTGAAGATCAAAACGCTGGACACTCAAACTGTGCAAATGCATCCGTGTCCTCAGGTCATCTGATGTGTATTTATTCATTGGCCAATTGAGAGTGAAGCATAGTGAATTGCGTTGAAGGGCAAAGAATCACACCATGGATCCCTGCTGCCCTTGCCTCCAGTCAGTGGGAGATGATGAGTCAGAACTGGAAATATCACAGAATAAGTCTTATTAGCCGATTGAGCTGGGTCCTCATCAGCCTGGTTATTGTGTGTCCATTTGATAGTGCGTGTGCACGTTTTTGCGTATGTGAAACAGGTAGACTTGGTAGGCCTACTATCTTTTAACATAAACAAATTATATGACTGATATCTTTGGAGATGAATATTAGCAAAAAAGCTATAATCCAGTTAGGGATATAAAAAGGGAAGTTACTGTCGACTTCACTGAGAGAATCCTCACTTTATTGATGAGAAATGTTTGGTTTCTTATATTTGGTTTTAAATATGTGGAACTGTTTTAATGCACTGTCACTGGGCTTACAGGACAAAAAAAATCAAACCTAAATGTATTCAAACACCCTTTTAAAAACAACTTAAGATTTGCATTGTTGTTTGGTGGCAGGTATCTTGTACTCCAATGGATGCCCAATTAAGATGATGTATATGTCACTGAGATACTTCTAGAGTTACTGCAATTTGTTTTATAAAAGAAAATTTTTTAGCTATCTAAAGGAGAATCTTTAAATGTCAAAATTAGAATCGAAGAACAAAGCTTTTCAGATTCTCCAGTTCACACCAATCTCTAAGAATCTGAGAGCTCATTATTTTCAGTTTCAGATGCCTGTTTACTGTAAACTGTGGTGAGCAGTGTCCTCTCACAGCAGGAAGCTAAACAGCTTTTAATGCACTTTCAGTGACCCAAATCAGTTGCCCATAGCTGTCATTTTATTAGTGGCATCTTATAACTCAAGAGTCATTTTGCTCTCAGTCTAAGCTCAGAGCTTCCAGTTTCAGTCAGAGGTTGTGAAGTGCA